TATATATATACATAAAGTGAACAAAAAACATTTTGACACAGATGGGCTTATTCACAGACAAAATGACTTCTTTACTCTATTTTAACTCTTGCCACCAACTTTGCAAAAAGTAATCATTAAGATAAATTTGCCAATATTTTAAAAAGTTAACATTTTCTGAGATAATACGCAGAACAAAAAGTAAGGAAATTTGTGTTTGGTAGAATATTTCTTTGTTGTAACAAAGTTTCTTGGAGTGGAATGCCCCCTCCGGGTCGAGGGAGAGTCTCTGCCTCAAGTGAAGGAGTTAAAGTATCTGGGTGTCTTGTTTACGAGTGATGGTAGGATGGAGCGGGAGAGGAATCGATGGATTGAGGCCTCGTCCTCAGTAATGAGCGTGTTGCTTCGGTCAGTTGTGGTGAAGTAAGAGCTGAGTGGAAAGGCAAAGCTCTTGATTTACTGGTCTGTCTTCGTTCCAACCCTCACCTGTGGTCATGAGGCGTGGATCATGACTGAAAGAACGAGATCCCGGATACAAGCGGCCGAAATAAGCTTCCTTCATAGGATGGCCAGGCTCAGCCTTAGAGATGGGGTGAGGAGCTTCATCATTCGGAGGGAGCTCTGAGTAGAGCCGCTGCTCCTCCACATCGAAAGGAGTCAGATGAGGTGATTCACCTGATTAGGAAGCCTCCTGGACACCACCCTTTAGAGGTATTCTGGGCATGTCACACTGGGAGGAGGCCCTGGGGAAGACCCAGGACTTGCTGGAGGGATTATGTATCCTCTCTGGCCTGGGAACGCGTCGGGGTCCCCCAGGACGAGCTGGAAAGTGTTGCTGGGGAGAGGGATGTCTGGGTTTCTCTCCTGGACCTGTTGCCTCCGTGACCCGAATACAGATAGTCGGAAGAAGATGGAGATGGAGAAGTTTCTTAGCAATAAATATATTGTTGGAAAATCTGTTAATTTTCATTTTAAATGGTGCCACATTAAAAATGAATAGGCATTTGTGGGATGCGCAGTAGAGCTGTGTATGTGGATTACACAAATGAAAAATCTGCAAAATCTTCTCTGCCAAACAGCTTCCTCTTTCTATCGACACCTCTGTTTTGAGCTTCTGGGACCCCTCAGGTGCTTCCAATCAGGTGATGTTATAAGATTTATTGCCAAGAAGCATTGTTACAACAAAGAAGCCATCTACCAAACACAAATGACCTTACTTTTTGGGCCAAGTTTAGAAAGTCCACAAATCTGTAAAGTGGGCAACAGGTTAGATATTTACTGTGCACAATACTACTCATGTCTTTCCCATGACTTTTATTTATTGCATATACTGTATAAAGTGGAAATTTTTTTCATTTAGTTTTTATGGACAACATTGAATATTTGAACAGCTTAAACAGTAAATATTCATGTTCATCACACAGGCTGAATGTTATCCACAGTGTTTGCTGTATATATTTATCACAAACTAACACACACACACACACACACACACACACACACACACACACACACACACACACACACACACACACAAGCACATCAAATTTACATGCTGAAACCCGCAAGTGTGTTTGTGTACTATGTGTGGGACTCGACGCAACCTTGAGCCAGACTTCTCTAATAATTTTTACACTTTTTGCCCACATTTCCCATCAATGCATCCCACTGCTCTCCTATGTATCCGTGTGGTTTGGACTTACTGGAAAAAGCCACAAAACACAGAGATGCTGAGGTTCATTACAGACATGCTGAGAAACTGCAACCGTAGTGTTACCACAAAATGTCACTTTACCCAATAATAGCATCCCTGCAGAAAGCGTGGCTGTTCCACTTAACTTGCAAACAGAAATGTGTTTATTTTATAATATAACACACACACCCATACACACACACACAGGCAAATTATGTAGTTGCCTATCTTTCATGGCAGCAGCAAATAAACAGAATGACACTGATTTTCCTGCTCTGGGAAAATCCAGAGGTTTTCAGGTGAAGATCTACCTGCATCCACTTAAAAGCAATGTCAAATATTTACAGAACAACTCAACATCTAAACTACTTTTTATGCTTACGATGTAGGCCTGTCCCTATAAGAAATACATCAAATAATTGCACTATAAATTAAAAAGGAGGTGGATAATTTTTATTTGCCTACTTGCTTGTTTTCTTTGTGTCTCCCTCTTTTCTACTCTCTAGGTATAAATGCATGCTTTCATAACCTGCGTAGCACGAAAGCCCCATGAGGTGTTTAGACAGAGGAGCGTCTACGGTTTTTGGATGTATTTTTTCAGTTGGAAACGCCTCAGGACACCGTGCCGAACCTTGGGTTTGCTGAGATTTGTTTCTTTTTTAACACTATGTAAATTTCATGAACTTTGTAAGCAGCGTAAGGGTACTTTATGAAGCCGGAGGAAGATGTGTACAGAATAAATTGCACCAGCAAAGGTGGATAGTGATGTTACAACTTCAGTAACCATTGTTGCTCCTGGTCCATCTGCAACTTTATGCAAATTTCTTACATTTCTCTAAGCTTCGCAAGCAAGGAGTGAGGGAGAAGACCGCAGGGCCCATACACCACACAGTTCTCAGACATCCCTGCATAAAGCTTCCAAATAATTTTACTCTTTAAGAAGAACATCAACTTGTCACTGTTTTTGTTGCTTTTGGAAGCATGACTTTGTGGACTGGTTGGAGTGGAATTAGCAGCTTTACAGTATTGCTCATAATGGAGAAGATATATTTAAACTGTGAAAATATCTCTAAACTACAATTAGGAAAATTTGCTCAAGCTGACGACTGGTAAAACTTTCATAAACAGTATCTAACAGACTAAAATTGCATGACTGGGGCTAAATTTTGCTTATTTTCTGTGGACCTCACCAGTCTGCAGAAACAGGTGGCAAACAGGTTGTGCTACTAAAATTTTTGAACAACCTCCCACATGTTTAACTCATTTGTGTGACTTGACAAAGCCCAACGTTGGAATGAAGTCTATCTAAACAGCTCACAATCTTTATTTCACTTCTTAATTTTAGTCTGCACAAATATAAAAAAATAACTTCGACATTGGTGCTGAAAAAGTGGAAATCAGTGTTTCTCTTCAGCCTGAATTTTGGCAGATTTTCACTCGATCTTCCCACATTTTTACACCTGTGTGGCCATAGATTTCCAAAACTGAGAGTTTCAACCCCTAACTCTGTCTGTTTGGAGAAAAGTAAAGGGAAAAAAACTAATAAAAAAAACCTTCATCAGCAGCTGAGGTATTTCTTGACCAACTGTGAAAGTCACATTTAGCTCAGAGCCGCACAGTCAGGATGGGATTTTACAGCTGGTCTTTAGTTTTCACACATTTTCAGCACAGCATGGCTTTGTAGAAAGATTGAATTAAAAAAATGTTTTTGTTCTAATATGAAGTTAGTCATGTTGGTCATACATATTTTACCAGCAGCTGAACTTTTGAAGCTTTCCAGTTTACCATAAATTATTCAACGCTAAAAGTGTTTGTTTTTATAGAAATAGCTGTAAAAAAAATCCAAAATCCTAAAGGCTAACAGCACATCGAAATGAGGACTGAATTTAAAGTTTCATTTTAGGAAAATCCATTCACAGCAAAGAAACAAACTGAAATTTTACAAACTTTCTCTTTGACCATCACGGTAAATGTGTGTTTGTGTAACCTTGTCGACTTAAATGATGATTTCATGGCTCAACACAAACCATTAAAACTCTAGCTGAAACTCATGATGCTTCCCATAGGAAGTAATGACTTGTTTTACTAATTATTAAATTCATTAAATGCTAAAAAAAAAAGAGTGAAATCTGTGATTATCATTTGTTAGGTCTATGTTGTCTTAAAATTGTAAATTGAAAATGTATTTTAACATTAAATAAAAAAACGAATCTAATATTATGCAAGTTTCAAATTGACAAAATAGAAGCTTGGATTAGTGTTTTAATTATTCGATTAATAGGTTTTAGACTAGTTTTCAAATAAGACATTCATAAATGCCCAACAGCAAGAAACCACTATGAGAGAAAAATAAAAAGACATAAAAAACAAGGAATGCAAATCATAATAACTTTGAAAAGTTCTCTTTGTCGTTTTTTAGGTCAGAACAAAAGTGTCATCTTTTTGATGATGGGAGCTTGTCGACCCTCAGAGTTTGACACAACCTTAGGAGGCACCGTGACACCGTGGGCATTCATCGTAAGAGAAACTGGCTGTCCAACTTCAAACAGTTCAAAACATGAACAGAGGTTTATGGTGGCTGTGGGGGGTGAAGAGGAAAATTATGAGGCAGACAAATGCAAACCAGTTATCCTCACTGCAGAGATCATAGAAACCTTTGCTTATCACAAATACCAGAGCAGATACTGCAGATACTGCAGCTGGATCAACCATTTATACCGTCAGTAAAATGTGTTAAAACATGATCCTGACTCAAGCAGCAAATAAAACACATGATCAGTCTCCCTAAAGTAAACACAGAAACTTGAGAAGACAAGCTTAGTTAAAAGCATTCGCTGGGATTAAAAATAAATAAATGCTCACCATCAGAGCCACCGCTCAGAGACACAAGTCCAGTCACCAGGAGCACAGCCTGCCAGGCCACCTCCTGAGGCGACCACGCCATCACCATCATGCCAAGAGCAACTTCTTTCCAATCCCAGCAACTCACAGCAGATGTGAGAGCAAACCTTATATCCTTCTCGCAAAAAGGAGTTTCAGTCGTGGGTTTGTTTCTGTCGGTGACTCCCACTCTGCCTCTCTGCCCTCCTAGGAACTTCCCACAGTCGCCTTGCAGCAGTACTCCACACTGACAGCCTGCGAGAGACACACATGGAGAGAGGAGAGCGGGACAAAAGAGACGGGGGAGGAGGGTGTTAGTTGGTCGCTCTCTCACTGTGCTATTCGTCCAGGATTTTTTTTTTTCTGGCCGCCTCATTGCAGAGGCAACAGCTGAGTATATCCACACATGTCCTCTCTGACACACACACACACAAATATACACACACCACAGATACAGTACACACCAAGGAGCGCACAATAAATGCAGCAAAAAGAGGGTGAATCAGGGCCATGGGTGTAAGTTTGGGCTGAACGAGGCGTTAAAGGCAGCAATAAAAGCTTTATGAACATCAGCCACAGGCATGCAAACACAGAACATGCCAAGAAAGACATGGAAACTACATTAGGAACTATTAACTCGCAGAATATGTGCATACGCGATACAACTGACAGCTATCAAATCCTGCACAGGGCAAGAAATGTGCATTGTGTGGCCAGGTTGTGCATAAAGACTCGGCCACACTGCTCTGATCTCATTTTGTCTCTTTGCAGGAAAATTACATGAAAGGTTTAATCCAGCTGCACCCTTAGCAAAGTTGGAGAAAATGTGTAGAAAAATGTTGCATTCTTTCTCACAAAACCCAAACAAGTTATTCAAAACATCAGCAAACCACACGGTTAGGCATTTCTTTACCAACAGTAGCAAAAATAATTGTAACGTTTGAATAAAAAGGGTGAACACCATGGCCAACACAGATTACTGGGTTCCACCTCCTCCCAGCATTAACTCTACATAATATGTATGAAACGAAAAGCTGCACACTCAGGTGTTCTGTGAGCTGCAAGGGCCAAGCATTAATCTTGCAACCGAGACTCTGGGATTAAAGTTCACATGCGGACCGAATCTCGTTCAGTCGCTCGTTCGAGCCTGCGAGTGTAAATGGGCGAAATCCCAAACACTTACTCAGCTCTACGTCAGGGATCAGGCCATCACACGTCTGGTGATTAGAGCTCACACCTTCAGGCACCGTCTCAACTTTGCACATTCACACCAAATCCGATCACACAAGTGCAAACAACCAAAAACTATAACAAAAGAAAGATTTGTGTGTTACGATGATTAGCTTTTGGTTAGTTTAAATAAATCTGATAACACTTACACACACTGCAAACATCTAGTTTTTCCCCTCGTAACTTTTATAAAACTATTCTTTTGAATGCTCCCAAATGGTACGAACACACACACACACATACACAAAAAAAGTGTTGAGACAGGAAAGAACTAACAACAACCAAATGGGTCTCCCCACCCAACACCTGTCTCCTCTTAAAGTCTGACTGAACTTTAGCTCCCAGAAGCCCCTCCGCTGTCACTCCTGATTTGTGCAGCGCTGTGTATTACATGGGATAAGTCAGCCTATTCTGGAGCGCGAGTGAATGGGATGTAATGTGAATGGGTCAGTGCGCCTCACACACCCCTCTGTGCTCCATCAAACGCCCAGCATGGAGCCTCTCCGGACCGACGGCGTGCTCAGCCTAAAGGCCGAGGCTTCGAGCTGCAGGGGGGGCAAGCGGCTCCATAGGTGGGGGTCACACCACCAAACAAAAAGGGGTTGAAAGTGGGACACACTGTGTGCAAGACCTATTTACAGTCAAATGAACGATTCTTTTCACATTTCCTCGCCTCCCACCTTCAGTTAGAATTTAAACAGCAAAAGCACATCTATTATCTGACACTTAGTTAAACGTTACAGTTTCCAGTTGAGCCTGCAGAATTTAGACGTGCTTGACTGATCCATGTTTATAGATGGTTAATCCAGGTGGTTCAAAATTGCTTTTATATTTTAAGAAATATGGGATCAAATTTGTAACTTTTTATTAATAATTAAATTTAGAATATTCCAAGCCATGCTCTGAAGTTTTAACATATCCCTTCTGTGAATAAACATTTTGCAAGACTCCCATTTTTGTGAAATTGTGCACAGATTAATTAATGACATGCAAAATAACTCAGAATAACTTTAGGACAAGAGAACAATAGTGATGATTGTGTAAAGAATGTCAAAAATTGATGAGTAAATAAGCGTAAAAGGCTGTTGGATATTTTGTGGTTGATTAACTGAATTGTAGACACACACACACAAACAACAAAAACAATAATGTGCTAATTTTCATGTTGATTTAAAGAAAGCATTCAACACCATAAACCACAATGTTCTTCTTGAAAAGCTACATAAATATGGCATTAGAGGACCAACACTAGAGTGGGTTAGTTATCTGAAAAATAGAAAACAGTTTGTATAGAAAAATGAAGTAAGATCTGAACTCTGTGACATTACGTGTGGAGTTCCTCAGGGTTCTATACTTGGATCAAAGTTACTCATTGTGTATGTGAATGCTTTGGTTAATATGTCAGGGTTGTTTAAATGTGTTTTATTTGCAGATGGCACTACATTTTTTTTGTTTGGGTAAAGATACGGATGTTGAAAATGATGCAAACAGAATTTGTGAAAATACAAAATTGGTTTAAACTTAATAATCATTAAAACTGAGATAAAACTAACTATATGGTATTTGATAATAGAAAAGCAATTATTGATGTTCCATTTAGAGTTGATGGTGTTGATATCTGTAGAGTCGGAGAGGTGAAGTTTCTGGGTATCATTAATGAAAAGCTGACATGGAGACCTCACACAAATTATCTAAGAACAAAAACAGCTAAATCTATTGGAGTACTGTATAAAGTAAGGGAGTTATTTAATGATAGAGCTCTGTATATGTTGTATAATGTAATGGTTGTTCCACACTTGATTTATTGTGTTGAAGTCTGGGGGAAAGCATGTAAAACAATTATAAACCCTATTTTTGTTTTGCAGAAAAGAGCTCTAAGAATTATTACTAGAAAACACTACAGTCACCCACCAAATACAGTACATTATTTCATCAGTTGAAATTATGGAAGTTCTATGAAATGGTTGATTATAATATTTTGCAGGTTATGTATAAGGCTCATAAATGTATATTAACTTTAAGCAACCAATTATATTTTGTTAAGAGAGAAAGTTGTTATAATCTGAAGGGGGGTAGAGAGTTTTGTGAAACCTGGATTTCGAACTAGTTTGAGGGAGCGATGTACTATGGAACAATCTGGAGAGTGACGTCAAAAATTTCAGATCAATGTTTATGCTCAAGAGAATGATAAAAGTCACTTTGATAAAGAAATATGAAACAATATAATGTGTATTCATACGAATTGCTGTTCAACAAGTATTTGAGGTTGTTTTTGTTTAGTTTTTGTTTGTATTATTATTGTTTAAAAATATTAATTTTGGGAAGAAAATGGCACAGATACTATAAGATTTTTTTCTTCTTTCTGACGCCTTTCATTTTATTTGTGATTTTTTTTGTTTGTGTGTGTGTGTATAAATTTATTTTGTTATTTTTAAAGAAATGAATAAAGTAAAAAACAAAGATGTGTGCTCTGCATTTTGACTCATCACATGTGAGAAACACCCAAGTGGAGCGGCGAGCAGCTATGTAAACACCCGGGAAGCAGTTGGGGGTTAGATGTCTTGCTCAAGGACACCATAGGCGGGGAGTTGGACCTGTGACTTTCTGGTCCCAAGTCGGCTGCCCTATCATTGTACCACAGCCGCTATTATCTGTTGCCTAATTTGACTGTGCCTAAAGACTTTGGGTTTAAAAGCAGTTTCACTAGCACTAGAACAAGCGTAGAAAGGACAAGAAGATAAAAGTTGTTTTTTTTTTTGTCTTAGCTCTTTGATTTCTTTCATTGAAGTGACAAGCACACCTTCTGTTACATCTGAGGCAACTGAAATCTCACTTCTTACTGCAACTTTCCTGAGAATATTCTGAAATGACAGCAAAAACTGTAGAATAAAAGCTAAAGACACTAAACATTTTTTTGTAGAATTTTTCAGCAACTTTTCATTGTGTGGCATCGTGGGACCACACAGACACATAGCATCTTCTATATGTAAAAAAAAGAAAAAAAAACTATTTTCTCCTCTAGATGATGCATTAGTTTGGCTCCTTCAACTCAAGAGGAGTATGTGGAGATCTGTTTAGTTTAGACATTTAACTTAGGGGTCAGTTTCAGTTTGTTTTGCAGCTTTGGTGCGCTCCACTTTCTGCCCTCCAACAGCAAGAGATCAGATATAATACAGCCTGCTTGTTTGAAATTATCTCTCTCCATTTCATAAAGCAAACATCTGCTGCTGAAATGGAGACGTTACATTAACCGTTGCAATGCGCCATGGAAATGACTGAATATTTTTCATTTCAGGAAGGGCTTTTAACGCACGTTTCAGCACACAGCTACAGTAGAAGGTTTGGACGGATGACTGAGAAAAAACAAATTACTGCTAAACTGTGAAACAAAAAGCCGTAGCAGAACGACGATGATGAAATTACCCCGAGCAAAAAAAGAATGCATATCCCGAACAATGTTTCAGCTGGAGCTAAACTGACCCGATGTTCTGTGAAATTTGGAGGATTTTCGGTAGCTCAGAGTTACAACTCTCATCAGAAACCTGGAAAGCAGTTCATTACTGCGGCGAAACAGCTGTTCGCTTTAAACGGCAGCAACAGTCATCCTCGTGCAAAACCAAAGATTTCGTTTGTTTTTTATTGATTCATTTAAAAAAAATCACGATTTTTTTTTACAATAAAACAATATTATAACTAAATATTACAATAATAAGGACTGAAAAAGCAGTTTTAACATTTCATTAATGTGATTTAGGATGTAAATTGTCACAAGCTCTGCTCTATCAGTAACAACAGCTTTCAACAGTAAGAGATTAAACTGGGAACCAGCCAGTCTTTGTCAGATAAGCAGGTGAGGAGGTGTTCTGAGTTTATCTTGTTTTGTAAGGAAACAGCTAAATCAGTGGAGATAATGTTTGATTTATTGTTGCCGAAAGTTCAATTTTAAATATCACAGTTTAACAAGATCAACCCAAAACCTTTGTAGTCTTAACTATTAAGTAAGATTTAGATCATTTTAATGTTTAACATTAATTCAAAAGTGCTTTCAGGTTACTTTACATAATTTTCTTTAGTATTTTACAGAGAAACACTAGAAATATCCATGCACAGTATTTTGGAATAATTTAGATTCTTCATTAAAACTCTTTACTCAAACTAAGCTGAGAGGGCCACCTAAAGAAAAAAAAACTGAAGCACAGAACCTCAGATCAGAACTATGCAGTTCCAGACACCTGCAGAAAAATACAAGGACACAAGTTTATAAAACAGAAGAGAAAAATCTTCCACCTTCTCACAATAACATAAGACCAATTCATTCAGATGAGATTGATGCTTTAAAGGGACAAAGAACGAGGAGTGAAAAGGCCATCACAGCAAGCTTCTGCCCATCTCCTCCTCCTTTCTTCACGCTGGCTCAGTTTCTGCCTCAGTCTGCCTCACTGTCTCTGTCCTCACGATGTTATGATGGGATATTCAATAGCAGAGAAAGACGATCACTTCTACTAAACCGTTTTTTTTCTTTGCCAATATTGATGTTTTTAACAGACAACTTCTAGAATGAATGTAGTGGAGCTTTATATTGGATTACCCTCATCATCTGAAGTTTCAAGCTGAATATGAAGTGCCTCTCTCAGACTATAGATTTGATTTAGTTTGTTTTAGTCTCTGACCTGTCTGATGGGAAAATAGCTTTTAACCTCAATTTTTTTCTGCTCTCAATACCAAGAGATCATGTAGAAACTTGTGCATATTGATGCACTGTGCGCAGCCAACAATTTTGTGTGCAGCAAACACACAAGAGTAAATCATGCGTGTCAGCCTGTAAATGTCAAAACTTTGTGAACTCACATAAACATTTCAGCTCACGGTGCTTCCAGCCAGTCAAACCAACCTAAAGCAGACTTCTGTGTACTGATGTGAATCAAACTTTAAATCAGTATTTACATGTCATAAGAAAAATTTAAATAAAATATTTTGGCTGATGCAGTAAAAGATGTTG